GAAAGAAAGAAAGAAAGAAAGAAAGAAAGAAAGAAAGAAAGAAAGAATCACAACAAAAACAAATAAAAAAGTAGGCAACACACAACACAGTTTCTCACCACCTCTGACCAAGATCCAGCCACTCCCAAAGAATGGTTCCCCCTGCCTCAGGCCAGCTCACCCAGTTTCAATGTCCAGCACAATACCACATGAAATGGAACGTCCCTTTGGCCAGTCTGTGACAGTTGTCCTGGTTCTGTCCCATCCCAGCTCCTACCCCTCAGCCCCCTCACTGGCAGGGCAGCATGAGAAGCTGAAACACCTGTGACTGTGCAAGCACTGCTCAGCAACAACCAAAACATTGGTGTGTTGTTAGCATTATTCTAAACACAAACCAATTCATCATGATTCATCTTATCTAATATTTCAGTGCCTCAAGAATGAACACTTGTGTCAAAGACCTGCAATGTGCACTTGAGGACAGAACTATTGTGATCTGTTTCACATATGTTCCTTAGCTTGAGACAAAGCATAAAAGAGAAAAATATTTCTCTCCACTTGATTATGCAGCATGGATGATGAGTTCAGAAAGGCACAACTTCATTTGGTCAAGTAATCCCAACCTTTGGAAAGGTACTATTATTTTGACTAACCGTTGAAGGACTTTTTTTTTTTTTTCTGTTTGGAGATTAAGCATCCATCCATTTCTCAATGATAAGCATGAGATTTAGACATAGAAATAATTAACTGAGATGCAGGATGGAATTTAGCCCTAGGTGGAAGGCAAGCACTACTCCTCAACTATATATGCTACATTTGTTCATGTAATACACACAAAAGATCTACCTTTCAACAGGGTACAAGCAATGTGTTACTGTAGTTTCTCATAATGCATTTGATTTTGGCCATGTTCTTTGTGCCAATGGAGTAGAGATTGGCCTTTTCTCTTGGTTGACAGGAATAGACAAAAGGTAATGCTTTCAGGTTGTGCCAGGGGAGGTTCAGGTTGGATATTGGGAAAGACTTCTTCCCCAAAAGAATGGTTAGGCAGTGGAGCAGGTTGTTCATGGAGGTGGTGGTCACTGTGTTCAAAAAATATGGAGATGTGGCACTGAGGAACATGGTTAGTGAGCGTGGTGGGGATGTGTTGATGGTTGGACTAGATGATCTTAGAGGTCTTTGAGCAACCTGGTCTAGAGGGAGATGTCCCTGCCTATAGTAAGGGGGTTGGAACTAGATGATCTTAAAAGTCCCTTCCAACTAAAACCATTCTATGATTCTATGATTCTAATACTCTTAAATCTCAGAAGCAAAACTCAGAGGAAAATTGTCCATTTAAGTAAATTTGGTCTTACTTGACCACTCTTCCCTCTACTCATCGCACATCAAAAGTAATCATATTTTTTCTGTTTTATACTTCACCATCAAAATCAACATCCACATTTGGCAGGTCCATGTCAGGAGCCCTACGGCATCTCTCTGAATCCAGATCTGCAATAACCGAGTCAAAGAACGCTATAGCTTCTCTTACATCTGAACTGGGCTGTGGGACTTTTCTTCTCTCTGTCTGTTGATAAGATAGGGAAAGAAAAGAAGTTAGATGCAGTTGGAAAAAAAAGTGAGAAAACTGTATAAGGAAGGAACTGTATAAGGAAGCTGCAAAAATTTTATTTGATTCCATATTTCAAGATTTCAGAAAGGCTCAAAAGTCCAGATTACTCCACATCAGCCAACGAAGAAGGCAAAACATTAGTGCAAGTGTCCTTCCTGTTGCATGCTCAACATCAGACATCTTCCACTTCAGCACTGCCAACATGTCTTTATAAAATCTCTCAGAATCCCTCTATTGAGCCATGTAATTGGGTGGCTAGGTGACAGCTGATCTTTGTGGTCAAATTCATCCTGCCTAGTATGAGGCACCTAACGGGATGCATACATTAGAAATGGAGTCATACAAGGTTACTTCTTTAATTAATGCAGAGCTCAAGTACCTTCAAGAGATGAGTCAGAATCTAGGTAGGCTGAATTCCCCTCTTCAGTCAGCTCTAGTCCCTTACTGCTGAGGGATCGTGGAGCAACTTGGTTACTAATTTAAGCATCTTATTAAAATGCCTTGGTTTGATGAAATGAATCCAGATCTAAATTGCTAAAGTCTTTTTTTTTTTTTAAATGGAAAAGGACTGTGAGTGCTAAAAAATGAGTCATTCAACACTATGATAATTTCCACAGGAAAGCCATGAGGTTTAAAATTAGGAGCCTGTCTTGTTAAAAAAGCAGATGTCTGTCTATAGATGCTGAAGCATTCATAAAGCCTCAGTTAGCAATTCTGTAGGTCAGTACAGGGTGAACCCTTCTGCCATTCATGAAGGTTCTGCCTAATGAAGGGCTGTGTATTTTCCCCGCCAGTCCAATTGCCAGAGCAATTCTGAATCAGAAACTTATTGTCCTGGGTTTCAAATGCACAAGCAAAAGATATATGCTGTGTCACATCTCTGAAGAACGAGTTTGCTTCCCATTCTGTGGGATGGTGCAGGCAGAAGTGAGTTGGTTTCTCCTTCTGAACTTTATAGGTTGATTGATTGACATCTTTAGAAGTGCTAAAGGATAACTACTACCACACATTGACTGAGAATAGTCACTGCCATTATACCCAAGACTTCATTACTTAAAAGACATTTTTTAGAAGTGTGTGCTCCAGAATCTGACACACTTCTCTATTCTTTTCTTTCACAAGCCTCAGGTGACATATTTTGAATCGAGAGACAGCCTGTAGTCCAGGCTTTGGGTTTTGCTTCTGAATTAAACTTTCCCTGAAGACAAGGTTGTCTGGGCAAAGCACATTCCTACTAATTGTGCAGCAGGTATGGGGAAAAAAAATGGTGGATTAGATTGGCAGGAAATTTAATACAAAGAGGTAGTTAGGGACAGAACTATTCAAGCCTGTTGGTATAATGAATCTTGCAGTCTGTGAACATAGAACTTGGAGTTAGGAAGTGGAGTGTACTGTATGTTGTAGAAGTCTTCTTGGCCTCTTCCTAATTTTTGCAAAGTCAGAGCTGTGCAGCTGTGACCCCACTATTTGTGTCAGCAAGAATGACTTGCTGGACAGCATGTCCTCCTGATGTTCCAAAGGAGAATGTTGTGGAGTTAGCGTGTCAGCCAGTATCAGGCCTGGGGATGCATAAGAGATAACTGGCCACAGAGAGATGACATCATTCATAGCCTCAGAATGTGGGAGATTCACTTGTTCGCCAAACTCCAGTTAAATTGCTGATTTTTTTTTCCAGTGGCACTTTCATTGACAAATATCAGAGAGTCAGAATTCTACATGAATCATAATTGTATACAATCTATCTCACAGACTCCTGGTCTATGGTTTAAATGTTCTTCTGCACTCATATTTCTCCTCTGCCTAGTGGTTAGACATGGTTCATGCTCCATTACATCACTGCTCTGCTCATCAGGGGAGCAGACATGCTATAACTCTCTCCTGCATGAAGCCAGTCTTTGTGCATGAAAAACTGGTTCACAGGTTATATATCTTGTAGTGCTGAGATTCATCTCGCCCTTGGCATCACCATACCACTCTCCTATAACTCAGTTATTCTCTTTGCATGTTTCCCTAGTCCTAAATGGTAAAGTCTTTATAAAATCTGTCTTCTCCAGCCTACTGAACTGAGTACTGTTTCTTGCTCAAAGCATTAAAAAGATGACATAAAGACCAAATAATCAACTGAGGGATTCCCACTGACAGAATGGGTTCTAGATCAGGATGTAGAATGAAAAAATGTGGTATCTAACTCTAAAAATATGAATCTTGTCCTTTGGTTAAGCAATGTATGCAGCAGAACTCAGCCTCAGCCATACTGACATTATGCTGTGAAAGAGCATATAAATGTGGAATAATTTTCTGTTAAAGTCTACCTGGCCTAGTCAGTAGGTAATCCATTATATCCTTTCTTCCCACCATTCTTATTAGTATCCAGTTTAAAGGCTGCACTGGGTAACCTGCATGTCTGCTGCCAAAGCCATGTTTGTGGTCTGGTTCCCTAAATAGATCACCGCACCTGCTGCAAACCAGTTCTTTTTTCCTAACTGAATCAATCCCACAGTCAAACTACTGGATAGTCTAGTGACATGCAACTTGTAAGGTGCAGCCTTACAGAAGGTTTGCATTGTTTTTCCCTCTAGGACTTATAGAAACAATCAGCAACAAAAAAAATCAGTGCTATTATTCATTATCACTGTAGTAAAGGACAAAGAACTACAGTGTCTGCTTCAAAACTACTTGACAGTTCATTAATAAACAGAGAAAGGAACCCCTACCAATTCTCCATTGCCTACAATGTATCAGTAGTTTGCACAGATGATGAACATAGCACTGACAAGCTGTCTGATCAGTCAAAGAAAATCACAGCTGTTTCTTAGAAAACACAATTGTTTTCACTAAGTTTTGCCAATGAGAAGGATACCAATAAACACAGGGACTACTGTGCTTTTCAGTCATTAAAAGCTATAAATAACCATAGTGGAGAACTTAAGTAGCCAGTCAGAATTGAGAGAAAACATCTCTTTCATAACAAGTTTTCAAGTACTTCCCATCTGCTCATAGTTCTTATCTTCCTTATTTTCTCTCCACACTTCTACAAACACACATAATTCTTTCCTTGACCAGTCATTCATATTTGACTTCACAGAAATCTGGAAATATCTTAGGGTATTCAGTAGCATTTCAGATGAAGTAAGAACAACAACAAAAAAGACAAACAGCTGAAACCAGTAAGGCAGAAAATCAACATAGGTCATACATATAATTGCTTCATGGATTGAGACTAATCATACAATAAAAGTTCTTAGGAATTACCTTAGAAAACTCTTTGGAGGAAAGTGGAAGAAATGACTTCTTTCCAGTTTTGGATGATTTTGTGGATGTTGGGGAATCTGCAGTCATATGCATGGATTTCAACTTATTGATGTTGTCAAAGTATTTTTTCCTCAAGGCTAACAAGTCCTGTAAGTATTTCAAGCAGTCCTGAGTCTTAGAGTACATCCACTCTCTGTCTTCCTCTTTTGACTGGCTGCAGGAGTCAATGCTGTTTGTACTTTTGCATTTTTTTAATGGTTCACTCACTTTTTCCTGCTCATCTCCAAGGTCATACATAGAGGTGCTGCGGATCAGTCTGACAGCAGAACCTGTGCCATCCCAGTAAGGAATGTCATCTGTTGCATTTCTTCGGTGGGAGTTGGGGTGAAATATGGAATGGATCTTTTTAAACATACTGTGTTTCTTTGACCCTGTTACACTTCTCTCCTTTAGCTTCTTAATTTAACCCAAAATCTAGTAGCCAGTAGCTGCAACCCTTGTCCTCATCTGACAAAGAGATTTGCCACTTACTATAATGAAGACAAAAAACATCTATTACTGCTTCCGTTGCCTGCAGTCCAACACATTGTGAAGAGCGTGGTCGTAGAGCAGAAGCCTGTTTTCTATTCCATTTGCGTCAGTGAAGTAGCTCTGTTCTTTCCTCGGATTAAAACACAGCGCAGGAGGTCAAAGGTCATGCTTTGACCTTTCGTGTGACTGGTCTCCATAAAAGCACGTAATCACCGAGCTGGAAATCCCGTCCTCGACGTTTCTCGGTCCCCCGCGGGTCGCCGCTGCCGCCTCCTTCACCGCCGAGCTCTGCGGGCGGGCGGGTGCCCGGCGCTGGCCATGGTGCTGAAGGGCTTCTGCCGCCCCGACAGCATCCCAGAGCTCTGCGGGTGGCTTCTTCGGGATTGCTTCTCGGGATCAGCCTCTACAGGGGCAAAGTGCAGAGGGATGGTTTCTAACGGGCAGAATTTAGATATTGCTCCGAGTTTCACCCTGTGGTAATCAGGAGATGGCTACAGCTACCCGATACCACAGCACTACTGGGAACAAAGTGGATTCAGATGTCAGGGTCTGTTACGCTCAGTACAAAGCTGCTCTATGTAAGGGATGCTATAAAATAAAACACTTCTAAAATAATATTTTGTGGTTTTGTTTTGTTTTTAAAAAGCAGGCAGAAACAAATACATTTCTACTAGCTCTTTTCCTAGACAAATGGAAGAGCATTCTAAAGTAGTGTTTTTGTTGACTGGAAGCTACAGACAACATTGGCTGCTATCAGCATATTCAAGCATCAGTATCATTTGTGATTGTGTAACAGCATGATGAATGTTTTAAAGAGAAGTAGAGAGTGAATATGCTCACTTAACAACACCAAACCAATCATCTCTTTGAAAAAAGCAGGAATGTCCAGATTTAACATATTCAGAACACTTTTCATAGTTCATTCTGCTCAAGCTTTCGATATTTGAGGAAATTTTGAAAGGTCACGGATATCATCCTGCAGACTATTAAACAAACTTCCACTAATTATACTGGAAGTGTCAAATGAAGGTTTATGCAACCTAAGAGTCAGAGGATCTCAAAAGATTCTAATAAGAATTTGCCACAGCTGGGTAATAAAGTTGATTTTATGCTAGTGTGGACCATTAGAACTATGAAAAGAGATTAAATATCTCTGTAAAATTACCTCTGAAATTTTCTCCATCAGAGAAATATCTGGTCATCAATAACAGCTTGATTTTCTACGTGGTCTTCTGATCTTTGGTTATAAATAAGATACAACACCGGTGAGCCTCAGAGAAACACTTGAAGTAGATACTCGAAGTAACCTCGAAGTCACTTCGCCCGAAAAGTCTATGAGTCAAGAAAATCATTGGGAGCTCAAGGAGTTACTGACAAAGAACTAATCAGTAAGAGTGAAGGGAACACCACAGAGCAACTGCTTGTAGGATCAGACATTGTCTTGCCATAGCAGACTGACCTCTAAGCTCAATCAATCTTATGAAGAGCCGTAGGTCAAATTCACAGACACGCATACAGGAACAAAAAACAAACAAAAAAATCCACCAGGCTTCTATTAGTGAAAATAAAAAAGTAGGAGCATCGTACACCATGAAGAGTAAATGCAATGATGCATGCTGCTTTCTGGGGGAAAATAATAATAATAATAATAATAATAGTAATAATAATAATAATAATCCATATGGGCCTTAGATACTCCTGTCCTGTTTCAACAAAGTGTTTAAAGCATATGCTGACATCTCACTGATATAAAAATAAATAATTAAATAAAAATAACTCAAAAATCTTTTATGCCTTTAAGAGGCTTCTCACTTTTAAGTGTGTCCATGCCCAATTTTTTCAAGTGCTTGTTGGTTCACAGTCACTGAGCGTCAACTTACATGTAGTTCTCATTGTTCACTGTGGTGTTAAAATAAGACTAATAAATGCATTAGTCAGTTAATAGCTATGTTATATAGTAGAATTTCATTTGATGTAATAAATGGACGTCTATGATTATTTCAGACATTAATATTTTATTCTGTGTGCTGGTTATGAGCAGTGGGAATACAATCTTCCTTTCCTATGGTAAAAATTAATATCAATCTATTTTCTTTAGTGTCTCTACTGTAATTTAAATAGCTCTCCAGAATTAGAAAGTTAAAGAATAAAATTCTGGATATCTTTAAAGGTCAAAAATGTCTCTAGTGTCTTTTGCAAGAAGAAGAATGCCCTACATCTTTTCTAGGTAATGTCCTATAGGGCATTTTTGTTCAAATATGTTTTCTGAATAGCTGTTATTTATTTAAAGTCAAACTCCAGTTTTCTTGTATCTGTAACTGCTCCAATTTAACTAAACAGCAGGGCAATTAGAATTTGACCTCCACAGATCACAGGTCTCTTCTCTTCTTACTGCTGGGGACCAAGTATGTTACTGCATCTAAGCCAAGTGGTGATTAAAAACCATGGTTTTATTACAGAATTATTCTTTTTATGCACACACACACACATACACAAGCAAAATAACAAAAAAAACAAACAAACAAACAAACAAAAACACTTATCAGATGGATAGTATGGTTGAAGAAGAATATTTGCTCTCTCAATTCAAAGTACCAAATTCACAGGCAGCTATTAAATCATAAAGACCTCCCAAAGAAGCTTGTGAGAAGCAGATCAAATAGACCACACTAAATATTTAACAGCTTCTAAGATTACTAACTTTGACAAGACAATGCTCATACCTTATTTGTTCACTTGGCTACTTGATTTTTACTTCACTTGCTCTATAATTTCTAAGTGGCTTCTTTTTTTTTTTTTTTTTTTTTGCTACTGTTTTCAGTACTTCTGTCTGGCTTTGTACCTAATGGGCTGATCTGAGTTCCACAGACCACTACTCATTAGCACACAAATTGCCATGGTTATCTACGCTCAACATACTAGCAATTCCTGAGCCATCATGACTGGGTAAGGAGATCCAACTAGAAAACACAGTATGTATTTTGATATTAACCATACATAGTTAATATCAGATGTGTAGATAAATGCAATTAAAATACCTTGATCACGAGTTCATGATTAATGGGTGGATTAAATTATAAAATCACACATCCTTAAGTTTTGTGGGGTTTTTTGTTTGTTTGGTTTGGTTTTTTTGCAAAGACTAAATTGTCAAAATGTAAAGCTCTGAAACCAAAGAAGGAAACTTTTGACAACCTGTAGATGAACCTTCCCACCAATATTCCATTATATTTTGTTGCTGTGCAGGAGACAGAAGCAGAGAGGCAGTCTGATAGAATGGCATCTGGCATGGAAGGGCATATGAAGAAAAGGTGTGGAATTGAATTCTTCCACGTGGAAAAAAAATGCACCTACTGACATTCATTGATGCTTATTGAATGTTTATAGAGACCAAATAGGTAAGAGCACAGTGAGAAGGTGGGTGATGCATTTCAGCAGTGGATCATCTCCACTGGTACAGCTATTTATGAGCGCAACATGCAGAGTCTTTTTCACTGTTGGCAAAAAAATGCATAGCTGATGGTGGTGAATGTTGAAAAATAGAGTTCTGTAGCTATGAATTAGCTCTATCAAATAGTGTCATTGTGCTCTTCATATCTGTTGCAGTTTCCATGGAAAAAAAAATCAGAGGCATTATTTTTAGAGTGACCTACGTATATTTTATTACATTTTTTTTAAAGTGAAAACATTAGTCTAGCTTTTAAACAAACAAAATTTAAAAAATCAGTATAAGACATACTAATGGATAGTTAATTTGTTGAGACTTGTGCTATTTCAGATGGCTCATAAATAAAGTGAAGTTGTCAATCTCTATTAAAATCTATTTATGAACAGATCTTCATCACAACACATATCTGTTCCTTTACTTTAATCCCCATCCTTTGCTAGCCATGTCATACATTCCCTTGAAGTTCTGTAAAAACACACACAAAAAAAATACACAGCCTCCTATGAATCTCCTATTTAAGAGAAATGTTAAAAATAAAGCAGGAATTCTGGAGACACAACTTAAAACTAAACAAAAATAAGTACATTGCACGAAAAGTAATGCCTCCTATTTATTTCTGTGGAAACTGTGAAGGTAATGGTCTGGAATTCTGCCTCCTCAAAACTACTGTCAGCAAATACTCGATGCCTTTCCTCATTCAGGAAGTTCCCAAAATATGGGAAGTGAAGAGCAGTTCTGATACCATGCATTTGAAAAAAAACCTATTATTGATTCTCTGAGCCATGAAATTGGACAAATCAGTTCCCTAAGGATTTGTTATTTGAGTTGATTTTCAGGTAAATGCAGTGAAGTCCAGATGTATGGCCCACATCATATTTAATGGTGATCTTTTTTTAAGGATATGCCTGAGTTATGCTAAAGCAACACTGACCTGCAAAACCAGCTGAGTCAGAAAAGTCAGTGAATGAATAAACTTTTGTAAATCTGGAGCATCATCTTCCCAGCTAATCTAGATTTGAATATGTTACTTCCATTTGACTTAGATCCTGCATATTGTCCATAAATTTTCACCGCATGTGACATTTTCATTCACTGAATAGGTTATATTGCAGCATAAGCACTGACAGTAAGTAACCAAAGGAGTTGACTGCATTTCCATCAGGAATGGAAAGATAAAGAAATGCCATAATTTATGTACATCTAAATGCTTAGAAAGTGATTGTGCAAATTAGATATTGGTCTATTATTTTATTTCATTTTTATAATTTAGCATACCTTGGCTTTGCTCTTTGGAAATAGTATGCATGGATCTTATGACAAAGCAGTAAAACTCACTCTAGAGAAATTCCCTTTGCCTATATCTATATCTCTATAGCTGTTGCCTGGCAGCTTTATAAGAGAGTGAAATGTTACCACACTTACCCACTTCTTTATC